TTGTTCAACTTTCTTAAATCTATACATAATCTCGTTTTCTTATTTTCATTACTTTTTTTTTTGTAAGCTAATGTTATTGGTGATGCAAAAGGTGAATTAGATTCTTCAATTAAATCTGCTTTTAGTAATTGTGCAATTTGATCATTTATTTCTTGTCTATCTTTTTGTGAACAACGATATGGTCTTTGTATAATAAATTTTTCTTCTTTTAATTTTACTCTTGCTTGTTCTGATTTCACCCGACCAACATCATATTTATTTGTTGCAAAACAATGTTTGTATTTTTTAATTAATTTCTCAAATTTTTCTTTTTGATCTTTCGTCAAAACATGTTCTTCAATGTTCTCACTACATAAATTGATGCTTGGTTGTTGTTGTCGTTCAATGATTCAATGATTGTAACAATTTAAATTTCATAATAGCATCTAATCCAATTAATAATTGATATTTAAATTCTTCATTTTTTACCACAATAAAATTAATATAGCTGGTTATTTTTCCAATTCTAACCTTTAAAAATGCCCGTCCTTTGCTAAAAAAATGACCAGATATTGTTTTTAATAAACGTTCATCTTTGAAAAATTTTAATTGTAATTTATTTAACAAATCTTCATTAATAATAGATACATTGCTTCCATTATCATACACTGCTGAAAATTGTTTATCTTTAATATTAACGTTTACTTTAATCAGATCAATTCTTTTAGCCGGGCTGATTAGTTTTTTTGTTGAGTTTCTTCATCTAAATATTCATCTGACTCTTCTTCAATTTTATTAATTTTAATTTCATTATTATTATTATTATTGAACCAACATTTTTTTTTGGATGAAAACGTACAGGCTTATTTAATTTAACACATATTGAACATTCTTCCTTCTTTACTATTTTCTTTTGTTTATTTTGATTATAATCTGTTGTGTCTTTCTTAAAATAATTGTTTGGTATATTTCTTGGTGTATCTAACAGTGATTTCTTCAAGTAATATAGCTGCTGTTGTAATCTCATCTTTCTTTAATTTATCTTGTATCGAAATTGGTAAACCAATTGCAATCACGTGAATCATAGACATGTCGGTCATCTTTGACTCGATTTCTAGTAATAAGCGTTGTTTTTTTAAAGCATAATCAATCAATTTACCAGATTGATATTTATAAGCATATGCATAACGAATTACCTGCCAATTTTTAAAACCAAACACAGATAAAAATGACTTTTTCCATAAGTTCCAATCTATATCACCTTGTTTAATGTGTACGGCACTGTACCAATCGATTGCAGTATCTTTTAATAAATATTTTAATGCTTTAATCTTCTTTTCATCATCTGTTAAATTTTTATTTACACATTCTATTTCAAATTTATCAATGAAATCTTCTGGATTATTTTTACCATCAAATTTATCAACATCCATTTCCTTAACAATCTCTTTAAGTTGTTTACGATTGTTGTCTTTTAATTTCATTTCTAAACATTCTACTAATTTAGTTAACGCTTGCATATTTGTTTGATCATTATTTACATTTTCATTTGTTGAAGAGTAAGTTAAGGTATTTAAATCGGTTGTTTCATAAGTTTCAAGCAAATTATCTTTAAATATTGGATTATCTTCTTCATCAAAATAAATTTCTTTCAATGTAGAATCAAGTTTAACATTTACAGTTCGATATTGACCAAATTTATTAATTGCTTTGATAGCTGTTTGCACGACCTTAACTTTATTTAGTTCAACATGATATGAAATATTTTGTAATGACGTTGGAAACTGATATTCTAGATCATCTAATTTAATTCTTTTAACTGCATGTGCCAGTTGTTGTGTATCTGTTAGTTTAGCTTCAATTCTAAATCTAATGATGATTGTCATTTTGATTGTCCAAATAATTTGTTTATGTAATAAAGCTACTTATTTAGTTTTTATCTGAAAACTGAGATCTTTATTAATAAAAGAACAATAATTAAATTTATAAAATAACATACCTGAGATAAACTAAATTAAGTTACATTCAAAATTATATTAATGACAATTATTAAATGACAAATATTAATTATGTAATTTGAATGTCAAGGTAACAATATTAATAGTATTAAGAAAGGTAATACTAATGATAATAGATGTAATACTATCTATTACATATATATAGGCAATAGGCAATAATGTTGCAGGAACCTTTCCTTAACAAAAATAACATTTAGTTACATTGCAATTAATACATTTAAGCAACGTTTTATTTGTAAATGTAATGTTGCAGGAACGTTCCTTACATTAACAAAAATAACATTTAGTAACATTGCAATTAATACATTTAAGCAACATTTTATTTGCAAATGTAATGTTCCTGAGCCGGACATAAGGCTTTGTTGCAATGTTTCTGCAACATTGCCACAAGGATTTTTGTAACATTACACCTAACAAATGTAACGTTCAGTAACATTGTAGAAATATTATTTTTCCCAGTGGGCTGTATCCTACAGTAATTTCTAAAAACGTTCCACCTAAACTAGATGAGGTCAAGTTTTAAAATTAACGTTCCAGACATCTAAAATTATCCGTAAAGATCCGCTTTTGTGAAAGCGAAAAGAAAAAAAGGCGATAATTTTAAACAAAAAGAAAAGGCATGCAAATAAACGATTATTGTCAAACATTAACAACATATGTAAAGTTTAGTTTTACTTTAAATTTTGCAATGTAAAAAATAAAATGATGAAATAATATTGGTGTTTTAATTTAAACCAACAAGCAGCGATGAACGTTTGAGAAATTAAATTGAGGTAACCACTCTAGAAAGCATCCGTAGTATGTACCGAATCCATTTTAAAAGTGTACTTGTAAATTAGAGTAATTACTTAAATTTCCTCAACCTAACTTATAAGGGGTGTACAGTCCGTTCAGGCTAAGTTGAGTCAAGAAGATGATTTATCAGTGCAGCGGCTTGCCGTTTGTTAGTACAGAGCGGCTACCGAAGTACATGTATTTAATTTTGCCTGAACATAGAGATAATGGACGGGGTGACATTCCTTAGACCACTCAACTTAGCCTGAACGGACAGTAAGTATGACTTTAATTTATATTTTTTGCTACAAATTTTGCTGACACAGTTTCTGCAGAAATCTAAATCTGATCGTAATTAAATAATAAGGGCCGTTCATAAAATACGTCACGCTAAAATCAGCTCGGTCTTACCCCCTCCCCCCCATTGTCACGCTGTGTCACGCTTTCTGTGACCCCCCCTAGAAATATTTCGTCACAAAAACTAAGCACCCCCTGAATATGGTAAATTTCAATTTATAGTACACAAATATTGAGAATTTAAGTATTTATTTAGTTTTTATAATAAAATTTAAATAAAGTAATAAATATCTTTTATAACGAATAAATAAATAATATTTGTATTAGTCAGAAGTCCAAGGATTCTGTAAATGCGCCGAAATTTCTATAATCGGTATTGCAGCATCTTCTTCTTCTTCTTCATTTATTTCAAAACTACCCTCCACTTCATCGTCATCTATCCATTCTGCATTTTCCGTGCCATCTTTTTCATCTCCTAATATGCATAATAGCTCTCGAGTTCGTCGAGCTGCGATGCGAGTTGGTTGTATGCGTCGAGTTAACGGATCGCAACGCCGCTAGAGCCATGTCAAAAGGCTAAACCCGCGCCACAAAGCCAGCGCTCATAAACAAAAATAAATATATCAAGTTACAATTTATTGTAATAAAATTGTATAGGTTTGAAAGTCTATAAATTTACTAAATACGAAATAAATGACTTTCTATCATGATGAAAATTTAAACATAAAAATAGTCAAAAAAAATACTTATTAAAAATATTTTAATGAACGGCGAACGTCACGTTGCCATACACCCCCCGTCCCCCTTTGTGACACTCAGCAAGAGCCCTCCCCCCCTTGTGTGCGAACGTATTTTATGAACGGCCCCATAAAATTAATTTATAATTAGCCAATATTAGATTTTATCAAACCAAAAAAGTTAATTAAAATCGTAAAAATCTTTTTTTTTTAATTTTAAGGAAAAAAATATTGCCTATCCATTTGTGGATATTTTTGCAAGGCTTGCCGTAGCAACACACACTTTTTCGTCCCTATGTAGACGGTACAATTCAACCATATCATAGTGTAGGAGGAAAGAAGTATTATTTAAAAGGTTTAAAATGTTGATGAACCCTTAGAATATGTCCAGGACCCTGATCCGGATTTATAAGCCTATTTAGTTTTAGAGGCTTAATAATATGATTTATTTGTATTATGGTGATTTTTATAAGAGCTAATAGATTAATATATAATAATAATAATAATCGTGTTTATTTTGGTAAAACATTACAATAATATTATTATTTTAATATTCTACATGTTTTAAAATAACTCAAAATAAACTACTCGATATAAGTTTAATTAAAAACATTATTAAACATTATAAAAATCGTATAAAATAAAATCGTAAAATATGATTATTAATAGTATATTTTAAAACGAGTGTTACAATTACCCTTATTGTGATAACGAGTTATTTTTATTTAATAGTAGAAGTATCACAATAAGTCATTCTAACACGAGTTTGTCATACTTATTTGTCTATTCCGATCATAATTATCAATAAAATTCATCTTACTAGGTTGGCGCAATTAACGTTAAGCGAAATGTAAAAACTAAATACTCATTGTCAGTCAAAATCAAACGTCAACTTTTTTGTCTATTTCGATGCTTCTAAGAGCTAGACACAGAACGGCAACGCGCCGCGGCGCGCCATCGCGACGATCCGAATAAACGGACAAACTGATAAAAAAGAACGAAGTCTGTGGGGCCTTAAGAGCTCTTAGAAGCATCGAAATAGACATAAATTTAAACAAGTCTAGTTAAATTTATTTGTATTTATCAAAACAAAATACATCAATTTTTAAATGTAAAAACTGAAAAAAATTAAACATTAACTTTATTTTAGTTTAAAAATTATATAACTGATGGATTCTTATTAATGTATACTCACAGACATTCCCTGAGAATTTTCTGAACTTAAAACATGAACATGATATAATTCAACTATGGACATTGAATCTGGCTCTACCATTTTTGAACCTATTCGAGGCACTAAATCCAAGCCTAATTTCCTGAAAGAATAAAACGATGATAAATATTTACTATATTGTTATGAGTATAGTCCACGCCCAATCGGCCAAGAGTATGACTTCATGTTTCCGATTTGCTTCAAATTTTTAGGTTCGATAGACGAACTGAAGTAATGAAGAAATATAAAATTTAAACCTCTTTTATGCATTTTTGTAGGTTTTACATAATAAACAAAAAAAATGTCACTTCTCTTATTTTTCGATTATTTAAAAACCCGAAAGACAAAAAAATTTCGAAAAAAATCATATAAACATATTTTTTGACGCTCTTTAAGATAAAATAAAAAGAAAAAAAAATTGTTCAAAAATTCTCAAAAAAAATCTTTTTTTTTTCAAATTTAAATTTCCAAAAAACGCCACCGCAAATTTTGACTACTTATTTTCGGGGGGGGACTCAAAAACTGTAGAAGTTATGTAGAAGTTATGAAGTATGATTTTTTTGTAAAGAAATGCATGTGAAATCGTCGCTACAGATCCAAGCCTACGCGTAGCTACGTCGCGGCGCGCGGTTCCGAGAGACGTGCACTCGGTCTAACGAAGAAAAAATGGTTTAACGATTCTCTCTCTTTCTCTCACACACACATTAATATTTTCAAACTATATTTTATTAAAACTAAAACTAAAATTATTTTTTTTTCTAATTTGGATAGCGTTTACTGAAAAGGAACCAAGCGCCAAAAACTGTTTCTGGGGTAAACAAAATTATTTGCAAAATAACTTATTGTTAAGCTGCTCAAAAAATTAATAATGATTTGGGAACCTTCTCAGTCCTTTTGAGAAAAGTTTCAAATAATATTACTAAGCCCAGAAAAAGTTTTTGGCGCTTGTTTCCTTTTCGATAAGCGTTATCCATTTATTAAAAAAACCAAAACAATCAAATTAAAAATCGTCGATGGTTTAGCAATTGCTATTATATTATATATATTATTAATAACTTGTAATTTAAGCTTTAACATATTTAAAAAAAACTTACTATTACAATAACAATGTTTTAGTTTAATTAGGTATTTTACTAGGTACTCTTATAGCTCTCGTTAAAAAATTTAAGAAAACAAAAACAAAGGTTTTTATTTTAACTAAGAAGGAAAAAGTTATTTGTCTACATATTTTAAAATTTTGCAGCTATTGCAAATTAAAATATGCAAATTATGTACCCTGTTTTTTAGTTCTAAATGTAGTTTTCTGAATAAATACAATACCAATTTTATTGAAATGTAAAGTACCTAATTAATTATTTTAATATTATACCTATAATTATATTCATTGCATTTGAATTTACATAGATATAGATATGTTCACGTCTTAATGGCATTAAACAAAATGATGGATTATTTTAATTTAAAGCTAAAATTGAAGGCCTTCTGGGGAAAAAAGGAAATTTTACAAAAATTACATGTCTAAAATACCATACCAAATATTATAACTTAAACTGTAATTTTATTAACTTTTAAAATTAAATTTATAATATTTGGTGAATTCGAGGCTATGGTATTTAAAAAAACTTAGGATTTTGCCAAATTTTGGCTTATCACTTTCTTTTCCTGAGGTCTCTAATTACACCATCTTTTTCTTTTTGTTAATTATTGGGGATAGTAAACTAAAATTACGGTTCGTTTTTTTTATCAAGAATCAGGAAACGTCGCAGTTAGCTACATTGACTTAAACAATTTAAACTGGTGGAAAATATATTTATGGTTGTGTTAAAATTCCAAAGAATTTATTAGTAAAATCATAGATTATTAATAATTATTATTACTTTAAAAGTAATACTTTTTCCTTCTTAGTTAAAATAAAAACCTATAGGTTTTCTTAAAAAATTTTAACGAGCTAAAAGAGTACATACCTAGAAAAATACCTAATTAAACTAAAACATTGTTATTGTAATATTAAGTTTTTTTAAATATGTTAAGCTTCTCTTAAGTCGGTTAAAAAAATTTAATTTGCACATAGAAGTTATTGCTAAACCATCGACAATATTTTAATTTGATTATTTTGTTTATTTTTTAATAAATTAGAAAAAAAAATAATTTGGAGTTTTAATAAAATATAGTTTGAAAATATTAATGTGTGTGAGAGAGAAAGAGAGGGAGAGAGAGAATCGTTAAAACATTTTTTCTCCGTTAGACCGAGCGCTCGTCTCTCGGAACCGCGCGCCGCGGCGTAGCTACTCGTAGGCTGGATCTGTAGCGACGATTTCACATGCATTTCTTTACAAAAAAATTCATAACTTCTACAGTTTTTGAGTTCCCCCCAAAAATAAGTAGTCAAAATTTGCGGAAAACTTAGGGCTATCATTAAGATTTTTTTTGTTTAATTTAAGGTGGCGTTTTTTGGGAATTTAAATTTTAATAAAAAAATGTTTTTGAGAATTTTTGAACAAATTTTTTTTATTTTTATTTTATCTTAAAGAGCGTCCAAAAATATGTTTATATAATTTTTTTCGAAATTTTTTGTCTTTCGGGTTTTTAAATATTCGAAAAATAAGATAAGTGTCATGTTTTTTGTTTATTTTGTAAAACCTACAAAAATGTATAAAAGAGGTTGAAATTTTAGATTTCTTCTTTACTTTAGTTCATCTATCGACCCTGAAAATTTGAAGCAAATCGGAAACATGAAGTCTTACTCTTGGCCGATTTGGACTGTCCTATATATATATATATATATATATATATATATATATATATATATAAATTAGGGTGAGCCAAAAAAACTAACCTATCGGATTTATGGGTTAAAATGAACCTACATACCGAGCAAAAAATTTCCCTGCAAGGCAAAATTTTTTGCTCAATTTTAAAAGGTGTCGGTGAGCATTCTAAGTTTTCCATTGAAATAACACGTAAAAAAAATCTTTTTTCATTAAAAAGACTATAACTTTTGAACCGTTTGAGATAAAAATTTTTACGTCGCGGATTCTTGTAGAGCATAAAATTTCCCAAAGAATCTATACCATGATTATTTTTTTTTAATTCAAAAATTCGTATGTTTGTAAGCTTTGAAAATTGTAAAAAATCACTAAAACTGCAGTTAGTAGTGATTTTTTACACTTTTCAAAGCTTTCAAACATACGAATTTTTGAATTAAAAAAAATAATCCTGGTATAGATTCCATGGGAAATTTTATACTCTACAAGAATCCGCCACGTAAAAAATTTTATCTAAAAAAAGATTTTTTTACGTGTTATTTCAATGGAAAACTTAGAATGCTCACCGACACCTTTTAAAATTGAGCAAAAAATTTTGCCTTGCAGGGAAATTTTTTGCTCGGTATGTAGGTTCATTTTAACCCATAAATCCGATAGGTTAGTTTTTTTGGCTCACCCTAATATATATATATATATATATTAGGGTGGTCCTTAATAAGGTTATTTTCAAATTTCTTTGCTCCCAGGGGCTCAAATGCTTCCAAATTAATAAAAAAAAATTCCCTGAAAATTTGAGCTCTTAATATTAACTCTAAGATAGTGCGCATTCCAATCTAAGTTTCATATGGAAATAAGATAGGAAAAATTACTTTTGTTGTTTATAATTTTATAACTTGGGAACGAACAAACAAACAAAGTTTAATTTTCATATTATTATTAATATTATTAAGGCTTTTTTATGAGGCGCCGTTTGTGTCAAAATTAAAAGTGCTAAATAAACTTATTTTGTTTTATAAATAATTAATTATATGCTTTACCAAATAATTTTTTTATAAAATTATTTTTTTATAATTTTTTTTTTGTAAAAAATTTTATAAAATAATTTTTTTATAAAATTATTTTTTTATAAAATAATTTTTTTTTTTAATAATTTTTTTATAAAATAATTCTTTTTTATAAAATTACTTTTTATTATTTACCCTACACCACCAAATTGTAAAAGGGAATTGATTATATATATAAATATATATTTTTTATAAAATAATTTTCAATTCGAATCAAAAATTATTTAATAAAAGACGACGAGCGCATTTATAAATTTATTTTTACTGCAGCCATCTCTATTTGTTTGTAGACACTCGAGTAAACCCGAGTAAACCCGAACGCCCCTCCCCAGATACAATTTTATGACGGACTGGGCCTTTGTTTGACGCAATTTGGGGAAACGATTGAAAATAATAATTTATTATTTTTATTCATTAATTTTTTTATCTACATTTATTTTGATTTTTAGTTTTTAACAAGAATTCTTTATGTTTAAACGTTTTTTATAAGAAAGCACTTGTTAAAAACTAAAATAAATAAATAAAATAATTCTCTTGAAAACAAATTAAAATAGATCAATTCTCTTAAAACAAAACTAAAAATCAAAAAAAAAAATTTATAAAAAAGAATTATTTTATAAAAAAATAATTCAAAAAAAATTATTTTATAAAAAAATTATTTTATAAAATTTTTTGGAAAAAAAATTAAAAAAAAATTATTATTTTATAAAAAAATTATTTGGTAAAGCATATAATTAATTATTTATAAAACAAAATAAGTTTATTTAGCACTTTTAATTTTGACACAAACGGCGCCTCATAAAAAAGCCTTGATAATATTAATAATAATATGAAAATTAAACTTTGGCGTTGAATAACTTTTAAACCAATAGACTAATGGAAAAATTATAAGAGACCTTTTTTGTAGAGCGTTAAATTCTCTATAAATTCATTCGTTCCCAAGTTATAAAATTATAAACAACAAAAGTAATTTTTCCTATGTTATTTCCATAGGAAACTTAGATTGGAATGCGCACTATCTTAGAGTTAATATTAAGCCCCTGGGAGCGAAGAAATTTGAAAATAACCTTATTGACCACCCTAATATATACAGGGTGGTCCAGGATTAATCTGAAAAATTTTAATGATCGATAGAGCCTGAAAAAACAATAAAAACAAACCCAAAAACATTTTTCAAAAATGCATACTAACGGAGATATAGTCCTTTAAAATAATTTTTAAACCATTAAACCGATTCTTCTCAAATTTTGTGTAGGTTAAGCTTTCGTCGATAA